TATATATAAATAATTAACAGGAAGACCCCACTCCTCCCACTCATATAAGGTGTTGATACATGTTATATAGTGCGTTTAAAATGGGGGGATGAGGTGGCGACCGGCACAGACTCAACCCCTCCCCAGAGAGCAGGCAGTGCCCTTTCACCTCCCCAACTCTTGCCCAGAACCCTAAATGCCTACATGCTACATATGAGAGTGGGCACAGGTGCCGGAGGTGAGAATGATTACACATCCCACCCCCTATATGCCACAGTGTGCCCACTCCAGACCCTATATATGCATGTGTCATGAGAATGTTATATGTGAGTGTCTAGGTTGTTTAATAAAATTGGGGCCCAGGTCTCCACGAACCACGGAGATGGAGGATCCTCCCACAGCTCAGTAGTGCACCTGAACCCTAAGGACCTGCTTGAGTGGTAGTGTGATGTAGTGGGCAGAGGAAGATGTCAGGATGGGGAGGAACAACTGAGGTGGCAATGCCCTCTCAGGGGGTCAGCTCCCCCACTGACCCCAGTAGGCACCCCCATTCTCCGAGATCCATCCAGGAGCAGGAGGCAGCCGCACCACCAGGGACCCAGGCCACGGACCGGCACATCACCCCAAGGTCCGACCAGAACCGGGGCCAGCGACCCAACATCCCCCCCCCACCCAAATAAGCCACCAAACTCCAGCAGCGACAATCAGCCAGGAGTGCTCGAACAGCCGCAGATGGTGCACCACGACCACCGAGAGCACACCCCCACCCCCAAATAAGGACCGACCAGTCCACCACAGCAACACCCACAATGAGAGTACACCACGTAAGGGAGGGCACACGCCTAACATGCCCAGACACCCCCGGGCCAGCAGTGCAGAGCCACCCGAGCGAGAGCCCCCAATACACCCCCCACCAAGAGTATTTAATCTCTAAATCTAGACAGGGTTACTATGAACATGGTGACAAAGCTGGGCACCTGCTTGTACATCAGTTGTGGTGACAGTCAGCCAACCAAACTATCAGAGTAATAAACAACGAACAGGCAGCTGCCTGCCACGATAATGCTGAAAGTCATACGTTTTAATAAATTTTATCAGTCATTGTACACGACCAAGTCATCAGCTAGCGTATCGGACATGGAGGACTTCAGTGAATCCTGATCTTGCTGAGCATTTGGAGAAGGAGTTCTCTGTAGCTGAGATAAGCTCTGCTACAAACGATAGGCAAAATAGGAAATCCCCTGGACCAGATGGCTTCCCATCGGAGTTTTTTAAAGAGATTTTAAAGTTTACTCTCACCTTTATTGAGGTCTGTATTTAAGGAGTCACTGGCTGCACACACATTGCCACTGACCTTGCATCAAGCTGTAAACTCGCTGATACCTAAGAAAGACAAAGACCCTCTAAACTGTGGCTCATATAGACCCATCTCACTTTTAAATACTCATGTTAAAATCCTTGCAAAGGTCCTGGCAAAACGACTGGATCGTGTGGTTCCTACTATTGTCTCATCTGATCAGACTGGATTTGTTAAAAACCGTCAGGCTTTCTTCAATGTTAGACGGCTGCTTGGTGTGCTGTACACTCCTAGTCCACCTGAGCACACCTGTGATGACGTCAGTATTTTGTTAGATGCAGAAAAAGCTTTTCACCAGGTGGAGTGGGATTACCTCTTTGAGACTTTAAAGTTCTTTAAATTTGGTCCCAAATTTATATCATGGGTGAGGCTGATGTATACCTCCCCAGTGGCAGCGGTCCGCACCAACTGTAACATATCCTCCTATTAGACTGCTGAACTCAGGCCACTAATAAAGTGACTGCAATAGCAAATAGATACACACACACACAAACACAACACAGCTACAGATGGACCTCAGTAAAAAATCTTACCCAAAATAAGCAGAATATGGGAATTCACTCAGGCATGATGCTGTGTATTGTGTATGTACATATATGTACATATATGTACATGTATGTATAAATGTATCGCATGTCTCCATGTTTATAGGAACATTCGCTGACATTTGAACATGACATATCTGCGAGAACTGCATCTTCTGCTCTTAACACCATTCTATAATATTCATGTAAATTATGAACTCATACTGCTGAGGATAAAAGAAACTACATTTCCTTCAATATGGCATGGTGCACTGTACAATTTTGAATGACAATAAAGTTTATAAAGTTAGTTAAGTCCAAAGTAATTCTGTTTTAGCATGTTTCTTAATTTGTCTTTTACTCCGGTCTCCAAAGGTGTCCCTTCTGTTTTCTGCCAAAGCATTCCACATGGTTCAGCAGGTAGTTAACCTGGTTAGGGTAGGAATGGTTTTGACCTCTCAGTGTTCAGGTCTAGTGGTCAGCACAAGTTGAAAATGTGTTCTGCTTTGGCTACAGTTTTATTGTGGTGCTAGTTCTGTGTGTTGAAGCCAAATGAGCTTTCTCTTGTTTCTATGTAATTTCTAATTTGAGATGGTCGAAGAATCGAGCATCTCATTAAATGCAGCAGGATTTTAAATTAATCTGATATTAGACACGTTAGAAATATTTCTACAGGTACTCTACTTGGTACCTGTGAGGGCTGGCTCTGGTGCTTGGGGAACCCTAAAACCGCTGTGTTTCCTTGGTCAGGTGGAGGTGGGCGTGGTCTACAGCTGCCTCGAGGATAAGATGTTTACAGCGAGGCGGGGGAAGGGAGCGTTCTGTAACGGACAGCCACTGCAGGTTTCTGATCAGACTGGTCAGTGATAGATCATTAAGTGATCAATACTGTTGTGAAGACAAACTAAAGTGTTGTTTTTTATTTTCAGACATCCATCATTCAATCATCTCCACAGAGTTTGGATCCAACAGAGACCCAGAAGCTGTAGACAAAATGTTCTGCAGCCTCCGAAATATCCTGAGTCTCCCAGTACACGGGTAATACTACAGTACTAGTACAATACTACTTCTCCGAAACTTCAGCATTACTATAGTGCTATTACTGTAACATTACAGTACTCCTAAAGTATACTTTAATCTACCGCTGTTGTACTACTGTACAGAAGACATGTAACTAAGCTCAGGTCAGTGTTGTCCAGACCCGACCTTGAGAAACTTGTCCACGCCTTTGTCACGACCCGATTGGACTATTGCAATGCACTGTATGCTGGGATCAGCCAGGCCTCCATCTCTCGTCTTCAGCTCGTCCAGAATGCTGCTGCTCGGCTCTTAACTGGAACTCGTAGGTCTGAACATATCACTCCAGTTCTGTCCTCCCTTCACTGGCTCCCTGTTCGTACGAGGATAGTCTTTAAAATTCTTCTGTTGACCTTCACATGTCTGAATGGCCTCGCACCCCTTCACCTCTCTGAGCTACTGGAACCTTACGTTCCCTCTCGGGCCCTGAGATCATCTGATCAGCTGCTTCTGGCTGTTCCTAAAACAAGAAGCTCAGAGGAGATCAGGCATTTTCAGCCCCCCCCCAAACATTAGGCAGGCCACCTCCCTTCCAGTGTTCAAATCGGTTAAAAATACATCTGTTATCTCATTTCACACGGTGTGAGTTGATTAAGTGTTTTTTTTTGTTCTGTGTTCCTGTTTTTAATGCTTTTAATTAATTATTCAGTATTATCATTAGTGTATGGTATTTTTTCATTAATTTTACATTTATTGATGTTATTGTTAAACTTTTTGATAACAGTTTCTGTTTTAAATGTGCTTTATAAATAAAGTTGACTTGACTTACAGAATTAGTCCATTAGAGCCCGACTGACATGGAAATTTTGGCTCTCACCGATTCTGATATTGGGAGGAGAGGCCTTGTGCCGATAACCAATATAATGGCTGAAAATGTTTAATCTTTGGCCACCCCCAAGAATCTTAAGTAAACAGCTACTTTTAAACCTGTTTTATCATGCTACATAGATAAGAATGTGTTAATATTTTACCTTTTTGAAAAACTTTTATTGTCAAAAGTACAGTTCTTGCATACAAACCACAGAAGAACATTAATAATGTAACATTCTTTTTAGTGAAGGAATTCATTCTTTAAGGGCCTTTATGCTTTTATAATATTTACATAGTCATGGTTACCTGTAGAACTGTGCAAGTTACAACATTCTCCAAGAACATCCTTGGTGAAGTCGTCCCACACCATCCTACCACAAGCTTCTTTTGACATCTGGAAAAATAAAACAAGAACATGAGGAAGACATTTACATATACAATAACAAATCTGGCCAGTTCGGCAATTTTGAAAATCAGACATTTTGGATTTTACTTGTTTAGTCAAGTCAAGTCACATTTATTTATGTAGCACATTTTAAACAGTAACTGTTATCAAAGTGCTTACCAAAAAAGATCACTGTCATGAACCAGAGGCCGGATCGCAAACAACAACAACAACCACTGAGAGGGTTAAAAGATTTATTGTGAAATAAAGTAATACCCTGGAGTAGGTCCGGTTCTGGGCTGGTTCCGATCTTCTGATTGGTAGTTCGTGATTGGGTAGTGTTGTAGTGGCGGGCTGCCAGTAGAAGTAGAACTGATGTTAAGGTCCACTGGAACGGAGTCCAACAGGCTTGCAACTAAAAGATAAAGGTTAGTAGATGCAGGGGGAAAGAGACTAATTGGGGAAATGAATCTGTGGGAATCAGATTCAGGGGTAAGGATAAGTCCGTGATACAGAATGAGCTTGACCTTTAATCCGTGATCCAAAAAACAGTCAGAAGGGAAAGGCAGAGTTCATACCGTGAAGTCAGTTGTTCAGCAGAAGTATCCAGTACGTGATCCAAAAAGAGAGTCAAAAACAAGAGCATGAGTCGGTACCTGATCAGATGAGCAAAAGCAGACGAGGGCTGAGGCAAAAACGTGGTCGTGGTCAAGGCAAGGGTCATGAACGTGATGAGTCAATCAATGGAATGCTGGAAAGTCTACTGCTGATGAGACAGGATAGAGAATCTGGCCCAGACTGAGAGGAATGAGTGAGCTTAAGTACTGACTGAACCAGGTGGTGGAGCTGTGGGATAATGAGCGGTGACAGGTGACATGAGTTGAGTGATTACTGAGTGTGCAGCATGACAGAGGAGCTGACAGAGAGCAGAGCTATGACAATCACAGCATCAAATATTAATAACATATTACAGCAACATGAATAAAAACATAAAAATATGAAATATAATGAGAAACAATGAAATACTAAATCAAATCACCCTGCGTTAGATATCAGGGAGTAAAAGCAAAATGGATGAACACAATCATCAACAACGAAATACCAAATGAGATCACACTGTGTTAAATGTCAGTGAGTACAGATGTGTTTTGAGGAGAGATTTAAAAATAGAGACTGAGGTGGCCTGTCGAATGTTGATGGGCAGATTGTTCCAGAGTTTAGGACCCATGACTGAAAACGCCCATCTCCTCTGAGCTTCAGCTGGTTTTTGGTACGGCCAAAAGCAGCTGGTCTGATGATCTCAAAGTCCGAGAAGGAGTATAAGGATGAAGGAGGTCGGAGAGGTATGAGGGTGCAAGGCCATTAACACACTTAAATGTCAGCAGATGAATCTTAAAAACAACTCTGACACGCACAGGAAGCCAGTGAAGAGAGGACAGAACCGGAGTAATGTGCTCAAACCTGTGAGTTCCTGTTAGTAGCTGAGCTGCAGCATTTTGTACGAGCTGGAGACGTGAGAGAGAGACCTGACTGACCCCAACATAAAGTGAGTTACAGTAGTCCAGCCGGGTTGTAATAAATGAATTAGACTAAATGTACGCTTTTTTAGACTCATAATAATTTAAATGTTGACTCAGTAAGCTCTAGCGCTTTCACACACAGCGTGAGCAAACCCTGTATTCACACACGACACTGATGTTTGGTGTGACCACACAATTTATGTCCATACTCGGAGGTGTCTGTGCTTTGGAGGGGTGAGTGGGGCGAGGCTTGTTTATTTAGCGTGGCTGTTAGCAACCATGAAGCTATGTTAATTAGATCCACGCTATACGTAGTCCTACAGTAGGTTTACCAGTGGTGCACTGGTCATAAAAACAGTCTTCCTAATGTGTGTTCACATTTTCTATCCTCCACTATTCACTATAAAGTTATCAAATGTGTTACAAAAATATAAATTCAACAAAGAAATGCCTTTCTCTGTTCATTGTTTAAGCAGTCACGTATGGTGAAGGTCTAATTACTATTGATCACAGCAGAGTTTATTTTTCTTTGTCGAGAAGTAAAGATTTCAGACAAACAATGCATTTCACTGACGACAAAGATAACGTTACTAACACTGATATACATGTATTTTACCTCTACTGACAAGAATGGGGTCTTGGATTTGTGCACGACACAACAAACCAGGAATGCTTAAAATGATTTATTATTAAATTGCCGCTGGTGGAGGTCTGGTTCTGGGCACAGGTCGAATATGCAGAGCCACATGTGTTGGTGAACTTGGTTGGACTGTTAAGGTACTGGAAATAATAATAAAGATGACAATCACTAACCTTCACATCGAGAGTGAGGCGTAATCCTCTAGTTGTTTGCAGAGGATGATTTCAAGGTCGGTGAGCAGGCGGAAGCAAAGAGCGGCAAGGCAGAGAACTGGTTTAGAGGTTTTCCAGGGCAAAGTCCAGAATAGCAGGCTTGAGTCGAGAACCGTTGGTCAGAGAACAGAATCTAAATCCAGAGGATAATCCAAAAGACGTAGTCGTGATAATCATAAGATGGGTCGGTACCGTGGTCAGATGTCAGTGTCCAGAACAGGTAAGGCAAGGTGAGGAAACCAGGAGACAGGCATGAAATCAAACCAGGAGAGACACGCAAAGCTATGGCATGAACGCTGGACATCTACTAACTGTGGAATTCAATAATCTGACAACTAGTGAGTGAGTGACTAGAGCTTAAATAGTGAGCTGAACAGGTGCATGGAATCAGGGCTGAGTGCTGTGGAGGAACAGCGTGGACTTCATGAGAGGTGGCAGGAGCAGAGCTGGTGCTTGAGACAGGAAATAAACAAAACATGAGGGCATGAACAGTGGCAAGTAAAAACAGGAACTATGGCATGTGGGCGCAGAAACGTGACAGCTACATTAGTTCTATTTCGTATAGGCTTCGCCCTTTAAGGCTGTCGCTGATGGGTTTATCCCGATATGCAAAGCATCGCACTGAAAAATTTAGTCCACACCCACCTACTGTGTGAGCCCCACCCGGTCCGTATAAATTACGTTAAGAGCGGGAAATCAGCTCCCATTTTTTTCTTCAGCAAGCTAATAGCACTTTTAGAAGAACGAAGAAGGAAAGTTGTGTAGATGACTAACCTTTGTTAAGAATGCTTGGCCGGCAATCGACCTCCGGTCGTCCGGTGAGCTCTCCTCCCCGAGGAGAAGCTGACGAGCAGTCTTGTTTCAAGGTAAGCGCCGAGGAATATTTCTCAGTGACAGGTCGCTACACGCTGGACAACGCCATCTTGTAATTTTCCTCTTATTGCCGACCCTCGGAGCGAATCGGATGGTTCCTCCGGAACAGGCGGTGCTCAGATGCAGCCCCCCGCTGCTCATTCCCTCCTGGAGAGCGTAGTGTCGGTGGAGGGGGGCTGAGTGAACGCTCACCCCATCCCACCTCGTTTCGCATCGGCGATCACACCGCTCCCGGCCGACGGCGCCCTCTGGGGTTGCCCGGCGTAACCCAGGAGGCGGCTGACATGAAGGGACCTTTTTTACGTCCCACGCCTTTTCCCGCCTGTTCAGATGATCCGGCGGGAAGGTTGTTTTTACTAGGTTCCATTCCGGCTCACCGTCTTGATCCATCTGGCCTCGTTTTCCCAACAGGACGTCCTACGGGTGAGGCCACAGACGTTTTTTTCTTTTTTCCTGGTAGATTGGGGGGGCGGTCTCCACAGTCCGCACCCATCTCCAGAGCAGGGGTTCACCAAGCGGAAAGTC